CCGGCCGGCACCTTCCGAAAACATTCGCCGTTTTGTTTTGCTTCTCCAGCGGGTGTCTCTCCTGAGCAGCCCCGGCCCCCCGGCGAGCGGGGGCTCACGGAGACAGTCCATCTTTGTTGATCCTCCCGCGGGAAGCGCCCCCGCTCCCGCAGCGCCTCCCGCGTCGCCCGGCGTGCGGGGAGCAGCCCCGGGAACGCTGCTGAGCGCCCCAAACGGCGGGGCGCGTGGGAGGGAGGGAGGGAGGTGGGCACAGACACCCCGCCCCAGGGTGCGGGATGCTCCGGGAGACGGGGCCGAGGCAGCCCCTCCAGCCCGGCTGCATCCCGGCCCCGGGGATGCTCCAGGGGACAGGACGGAGCTGGGACACTTCACGCCCCAGCCCCCTGGTAGCAGAGTCACCTCTTGCTTCTTCCCACGACTTGTTCTTCTCGTGTTTTTCTTTTCATTCAAGTAAATTAGTCTTGTATTGTTACTTTGTGGTGGTTTTTATTTACGGCGGTTTTGTGGTCTGTGCCAGGTGCACGTGGGCTCTGCAGCAGTGGGCAGCAACTTTTGTCCTCACTCGAATGCCTGAAACCTGACCATAAAGAACAGTACCTGGAAAGGGAAAATGCAGTCTTCAGTAACATGTAGCTATCTCCTGAGACTGCCAATATATAGCATTTAGTGCCATTTCTGATGACAGGAGTTATTTTATGCATCCATTAAGAGTTGGACAGGGACCACCAGCTAACTTATGTAGTTGCCAGTAATGGTAGTAACAACTTTCCATCCCTACTGATTTGGCTGAGCTCCAGCTGGTGACTACGAGGAGAAAGACTTGTTCCTGCTTCCAGGCTCTGAACTATCCAGAACTCCAGGCTTCCCTTTGGCTGTTTATTTATTGGAGGTGTATGGTTTTTTTGGATACTCTAATTTTGAAAATTTAACATCAGCTTTCAGGGGAACTTTCTGGTGCTGCTTTTTCAGGGTTACTCTCTACGCAGTGGCATTGTGATCAAGAGGAGCAATTTTGTGATTCAGTGCATTTTTATTAGCAAAAATTGTCAGAGCATTAAAGCAGACAGAGCTAACATACCAATGGATGGTTAAATTGGGCAGCGCTGCTTTTCAGGGATCTCTGCAAACACTTGTTTATTTAATTATATCTAATTTAAGGACATGCACCGAGCATTTTCCTTTGATCTATGATTTTCACAACATTTAGCCAATGCCGCAGGGAAAGGCAATGAATAGCATCGTTTCTCACTTGGTTTCATGTCTTACCCACGTTCGTACAGCTCTGATGGGAAACTGTCCCTGAACCTACATTTGCCCAGAAAAGGTCACTTTGCAAGCTTCAAGGCACCTTTTTACAAACCTGTCCTGAATTTCAAGTAATTAATGACACTTGGAATCCGTTGGCTTTCTTTGGAGTTCAAGTCAGAGCGTGAATCTCTCATAGGTTTCTACTGCCCTTGCCTCAAACTGGTACCTCGAGTTCATGTTCTGGGCCCTTTCCACATCTCCCAAATATATATCGGGAAATAGGGAAAAGTTTGGAAGAAGATACCATTCTTTCTTAGACTTTGTTCAGCATAATGCAGAGTAAACTTTCAGTCCTTTGTAGTTCTGAGTAAGTGGAAAATATATAGTGCTCACAGCCGTTCATACGATGAAGAACATTTTAGTGGCTCTAAGCTTTTTGTGCCCCAGGCGATTGCTATTGCTCCAGCAAAGTCTGCTGAGCACTTGGCTAATACAAAGCAGGAGCTGGAAGCAGTGGGTTTGTGCAGCAGCTCACTCCAGCATCACTGCCACTTCACAGGCCTTTGCCTCCCCAGGGAAAAGGGCTCCTAAGGGGAAAATCAAGAAACAAGTATCTGAAAGATTTATCTTCGCTCCACCCAGTGACAGTTTTCCATGGCTGTGTGTGGGGATTTTGGAGCATTATGAAGTGCTGTGTGGGACAGATGTTCTCCCGAGTGCTGCTACTTCCAGTGAAGGTAGGTGTCCAGTCCCGATTAGAGAACGTCAGAAGTTTGCAGCCATACGAATTCTGGGGAAGGCTCTTACTAAAATCAGCACCAACTCTTTCTATGCTCTGTTTGATTTCCTCTGTCTCCTTCCCTTCTTCCTTCGCCCATCCTTTTCCCCGTGTTTCTTCCCCCTCCTCTCCCGTTGGAGTTCCCTACAGCCTTCCTCCTCCGATGTTTACCTACCTTCGCCTGGGCCTCTCCTGCAGCTCCTGCCAGGCCGCCGGTTCCTGCTGCACTAAATCAGTTCTCCCGCAGTCAATGGCTCCTCTCAGTGACTCACAGGAGCTGCAAATCCAGCGGGGCAAATTAGGCATAGCAACATGCAGGCAGCACAGCCGAGCAGCCAGGCAGTTGACATTCAAGTGGGTTCAGGGTTTTTTTTCCTTGCTTTGATATGCTCAGCGTTTATGCTGGACCCTCTGAGCGTGGCATTTCCTATTTGTTTTCTTCCCCTTCCCTGCTACTCCTTCCTTGCATCCCTCTAGCTAATGGTGCAGACTGTTCTTGCCTGTGATTTGCAACCTGGTGTCACAGCATTTGTGCCCAGACAGGCAGGGGGTTGCAGGAATGCTGCTTCTGCCCCAGCTGCTGTCAAGGTGTCCCAAGAGTTCTGAATTTGTGCGGGTGGAAGAGGAGCTCATGACCCTTCTGATCCTGCAGGGGAAGCAGAGAAGCAGCCTTTGAAGCAGTATTCACTTGTGCTGATTGCTTCTTCCCTGTGTGAACTGCGGTATTCAGTAGTGCTGATTGCTTCTTCCCTGTGTGAACTGCACCACGTGCAGCAGGGCAGGCAGGAGCATCCTGTGAAGGTGGATGATGCACCTTGTCGAGCCTTTGACCAGCACTGCGCATTGCACGGCTGGCTCACCCCATGTGGGGTGCACAAAGGCACAACAGTCACAACCATTTCTTAACTCCTCCCAACCAGCTAGGGAGTTGAAAGACCTTTGTCACTGTCATTCAAGGATTTTATATTAAAAATTATTTTGTACCAGTCACTACAGTAACACTGAGAAGTAGTTTTGTTTCTTCAGTGAGACAGGTATGTTGCTTGATGTAGATTTTAATCTTAGTTGGCTCGTGTGTGTATGTGTGTGCA